GCTGCAGGATTGCCCTGGCGGGAAGGAGACAGGGGCTCCAGACTGCTCTGAACGCCACCTCCAATTCCACTTCCAACTGAACTGAACCCCAGTTCCGGGCCCACTGCGGGAGAGACTAGACTGTTTGGTAGCAGGTGAAACTCAAGGGCACCTCACTCTCAGAGGTGCTTGCAGCGAGTACCGAAGGACCCTCAGAAACACTGAGACTCAGGAGCCGCATAGGGCATGGCTGATGTGACTGATGGAAGCCAAGGCTGTAGGCTCCACCCTGAAACTCCATCCCAGCAGGGAAGCTGCAAAAATGCCGGGACTAGGAAATAGATCACAAACAAAAGAAATGGAGGACAAAAAGCAACTGGATATAGAGTTCAAAACCACACTTATAAGGTTGTTCAAGAATCTCCTAGAAAAGGTCGATAAAATAAAGAAGACCTATGAGGATATGAAAAGAGATCAACTAGAAATAATAAGGGATCTACAAGAAATAAAGAATACATTGTCTGAAATAAAAAATATTATACAGAGTCCTAAAAACAGAATGGAAGATCGCAAGAATCAAGACAAAGATTTGGAACATAAAGAGCCAGAAGACACTCCTCCACAGAAGCAAGAAGGCAAGAGAATCCAGAAAGTTGAAGATAATGTAAGAAAACTCTGGGACAACTTCAAGAGAACCAACATCAGAATTATGGGGGTCCCAGAAGATGAGAGAGAGCAAGATATCAAAAACATACTGAAAGAAATAGTGACAGAAAACTTCCCCCACCTGGTGAAAGAATTAGACTTACAAGTCCAGGAAGTGCACAGAACTCCAAACAAAAGGAATCCAAAGAGGACCACACCAAGACACATCATAATTAAAATACCAAGAGCAAAAGACTAAGAGAGAATATTAAAAGCAGCAAGAGCAAAGCAGGTAGTTACCTATAAAGGAGCATCCATACGATTGTCAGCTGATTTCTCAACAGAAACCATGCAGGCCAGATGGGAATGGCAAAAAATATTCAAGGTAATGAATAGTAAGAACCTACAGCCAAAAAAACTTACAGCAAAGCTATCACTCAGAATCGAAGGCCAGATAGAGCTTCACCAATAAAAAAAAGCTAAAGGAGTTCATCACCACCAAACCAGAATTATATGAATTGCTGAAGGGGGTTCTTTTGGAAGAGAAAGTAAATAAAGATAAAAACTATGAACAACAAATACGTAACTATCAACAAGTGAATCTAAAAACCAAAAAAATAAAAAAATAAAAATCTGATGAACAATATTAACTGTTGAATATAATAGAATCAGAGGTATGGAAGGGGAGTGAACTGACGATTCTCAGGGAAAAGGGGAGATGGGGATGTGGGAAGAGACTGAACATAAACTGTGAACCTATGGATGAGGACAATGATGGGTGGGGAAAGGGCAGAGGGTGGGGTGGGAACCTGGTGGAGGAGAGCAATGGAAGGGGGGGGGAGAGGATCTGTAATAATATGAACAATAAAGATTTAAAAATAAATAAATAGAAAGAAAAAAATTACATGATCATATCATTGATGAAGAAAAAGCACTCAAAAAAACCCCAACACCTTTTTAATAAAAATACTCTCAGCAAAGTGGGAATTAGGGATTATTCCGCAACAACAATAACAAAAAAGCCATATATGAAAAACCGATAGCCAACATTATACTCAGTGGAAAAAAAACTAAAACCATTTCTCTAAGAACAGGAAAAACATAGGATTCCCACATTTACCACTCTTGTTAACATAGTACTGAAAGTGCTAGCCACAGCAATCAGTCAAGAAGGAAAAATAAAAGGCATCCAAATTGAAAAGGAGGAAGTAAAACTCTCATTATTCACAGATGCTATAATATTGTACACAGAATACACTAAAGACTCCACCAAAAAAAAACTACTAGATTTAATAAATAAATTTGGCAATGTAGTATGATACAAAATTAACACCCAAAAATTTATGGCATTTTTAATTTCTTTTTTAATTTAATTTTTTGGTACCAAAGATGCAACCTAAGTGCTCCACAGTTGTGGTGATGAAATCATAACCATGGCTGGCCTCCCGCTCATGTCTAGGCACCCAGGCTGCTCTCTTATATGCCCTGACCACTCCCACCTCCCTGCCTGCCTTCCTTGCTTCCAGGCTCCCCATTTCTGTGGCATTTTTATATACAAATAATGAACTCTCAGAAAGAGAAACTAACAATCCCATTTACCATTATAAAAAAAAAAAAAGTTAAGACACTGAGGAATAAACTTAACCAAGGAGGTTAAAGACCTGTGCTTGGAAAAGTATAGGACATTGAAAAAAGAGATAGAGGAAAATGTAAATTAGTGGAAGTATATACCATGTTCATGGATTGGTAAAATCAGCATCATTAAAATGTCCATACCCAAAGCAATCTATCCATTCAATACAATCCCTATTAAATTACCTATGGAATATTTCATGGATCTAGAACAAATACTCCAAAAATTTATATGAAACCAAGAAAGACCCTGAATAGCCACAGTAATCTTGAGAATGAAGAGCAAAGTTGGAGGAATCACAATATCAGATATCAAGTTATACTACAAAGCCACTGTACTCAAAATAGCCTCATACTGGCACAAGAACAGGCATATAGATCAATGGAACAGAACAGAGAACACAGAATTTAACCCATGCCATTATGCTCAATTAATTTTTGACAAAAGAGGCAAGAATATACAATGGAGTCAAGATAGTCTCTTTGCCAAAACCAGTTTGGCTCAATGGATAGAGCATTGGCTTGGGGACTGAAAGATCCCAGGTTCAATTCCGGTCAAGGGCATGTACCTTGGTTGCGGGCATATTCCCAGTAGGGGGTGTGCAAGAGGCAGCTGATCGATGACTCTCTCTCATCAATGTTTCTAACTCTCTATCTCTCTCCCTTCCTCTCTGTACAAAATCAATAAAATATATTTTTTTAAAAAGTCTCTTCAATAAATGATGCTGAGAAAACTGGACAGGTACAATGCAAAAAAAAAAAATGCAACTAGGCCACCAACTTACATTATATACAAGAATAAGCTCAAACTGGATAAAAGACTTAAATGTAAGTCGTGAAACCATAAAAATCTTAAAAGAAACAATAGGCAACAAAATTTCAGACATCTCTCATAGCAATATGTTTACCAATACATCTCCTAAAACTATAGAAACTAAAGGGAAAGTCAACAAATGGGACTACATCTATTTTGCACAGTAAAAGAAACCAAAATAACAAGGGAGCCCACTGCATGGGAGAACATTTTTGCCAATGATACATCTGATACTGGTTAATCTCCAAAATATATGGGAAACTCATTCAACTTAACCAAAGGTAGACAAACAATCCAATTAAAAAATGGGCAAAGGACCTAAAGAGATACTTCTCCAAAGTGGACATACAGATAGCTAAGTGACATATGAAAAAATGCTTCAAGTCACTAATCATCTGAGAGATGCAAATTAAAATTATAATGATGTGACATCTCACACCTGTCAGAATGTCTATCATCAACGAATAACAAGTGCTGGCAAAAGGGAACCTTAGTACACTGCTGGTGGGAATGCAGATTGGTGCAGCCACTGTGGAAAACAGTATGGAGTTTCCTCAAAAAATTAAAAATAGAACTCCAATTTGACCCAATGATCCCAATTTTAGGAGTATATCCTAAGAAATCAGAAACACCAATCAGAAAGAATATATGCACCCCTATGTTCATAGCAGCACAATTTCCAATAGCTGAGATTTGGAAATAGCCCAAGTGCCCATCAGTATATGAGTGGATATAAAAGCTGTGGTACATTCACAATAGAATACTACACAGCTGTAAAAAAGAAAGAACTCTTTCTTTTGTTGCCATTTGCAACAGCATGGATGGCCCTGGAAAGCATTATGCTAAGCAAAATAAACCAGTCAGAGAAAGATAATTATCATCTGATATCACTCATTTATGGAATCTAAGGAACAAAATAAATTAATGAACAAAATAGATCCAGAAACATAGAAGCATGGTACAGACTGTGGAACCTCAGAGGGAAGGCAGCAGAGGGTGGATGGGCAGGAAGAGAACAACCAAACAACTTGTATGCATATATGCTTAAACAATGGACACAGACAATGGGGCCTGGGGTGACATATTAGGGGAGGGAGTGGGCTAAAAGTGGTCAATGGGGGCGGGGGGAGAAGTGGGAATGGACATATGTAATTCTCCCAACAATAATTATTTTTTTTAAAAAGAGGGGAAATATGGTCTAAGAAAAATGCCCAGGCGATCAAGTTTATATTTGTAAAATATTCTTTTTTAATCTAGGGGTTTGGTATATTTCTCTCTACTTTTTTCATACATGATATATTTTATAAATTAGAGATAAACACATCTTTACCTTATATATGTTTTTAATTAGAAAGCCTGCAATATGAAGAGAAAACCTAGTGTACTTCCAACAATTTGCAAAATATAGAACTAGTGTGGAATGTGGTTAAATGCTACTCAAAGATACACATAAAACAATCTCAAACCATAAGCTTCCTGAGGATAGAAACTATTATCTTCATTCCAACTCTCCCTGGCATTTAACAGAGGCTGGTACACATCAACTGGATAACATCCTGGCTGGTTAAATTGTTAAAATTAAATGAGAAGCTTTGGTGAAGATGATAAATTCACTTTGAAGAACCCATTGGACCACAGTGAATTCTGAAGGTATGAAAATGTATTGATCATAATTTTCATGTGCTCAGTCATATCAATATGGCTTATTAAAAACTTATAACCTGTCTTAATACTTATAATGCAGTGCTTAATCTGAAAAAAAAAAATCAGCCTATATCTATGAGTAAAGAAATTGAAAAGAGAGGAAGAAAAAAAACATAAGGCAAAAATTATAGCTTCTATAAGATTTTCCATTTATTATTAGTTTAATTTATTCAATTTGCAGAATGGACATGCTGATTAAGAGGAGCTGTATGAATGAAGGACTCACCTCTGTCTGTATTAGGAATTCCCAGATCCACTGTAGGAATGGAACTTTCTGCATAGTCACTGTAAAATTCAATGAGACTGGCCTGACCCGCCCATGTCTGCTTTACAATGGGGACTGAAAAAAATGAGAGAAGTGATAATCACTGACACAGTTATATAGAAAAGCTTAGAATATCAAAGGCTCAGCACAATCCCTTATAAAGAAAGAGAACTGTCACTTGTTCTTGTTCAGAAAGCCTTAGAGCTCACTTTTCCATCCTGAGAAATGCCATATGCACATGAATAAAACCCTCTTCCTGGGCCATTTTCAATATACTCTAGAGCCAAGCACTTCCTGGTGATAAAAAGTGCTTTCATATAATAATAAATTTTCTAATTATACTTATTGTGTTTAATCAGTAGATAATCAACATTCTGATTATACTGTTACATTTAAATTAATTTTAACTACTTTTTTTCTTTGCCCAATTGAGTTCATTTAAAATTCGCAAGTGGATTTTTATAAAGCTTTTTAGGGAAGTAGAAAATATAGTTACTTCCAAAGATGAGACTAGTCTATGTAGATCTGACTGAGATGCTATTTTATCTCTTAAAATGGGGGAGGGTATCTTTTCAAACTACACTGTCCCACCCAAAGATTCCAATACGATCACTTAACTCTATAAAGGATGGTCCCTACTCTACCATTGGGAATCACTACATATGACTGATTTTATTATTGTACTTTTGAAATATGTGAAATAAGATCTTGAGAACCATTACAGATTTTAAAACTCCATAATTAACAGATAAATTGCTTTAATACAATAAACACAAACAACAAAAAACTCCTGGTTTTCTGCATTTTAGGGTGAGATGTTAAAAGACAGCTCTGTACCCTCACCTGATGTAGAATTCTGCCTGATCACTATTTGATATTAATTTACTTTACCAACTATCCAAGTAATTATTTGCTTCTGTATGTTTTTTTAGGTTATTGTCTACATCTCTAAATATTAAGGAGAATAAGGGGCTTCGGTTGTAGATTTGTAAAAAAGCCATCCCACCTAGATTTTCTACCCTATTAAAGTAAGAATCTCAACTCTAAAAACCAAGTCTTCAGGTCAATATTTTAAGACTTTATCAGATCTTTTTTCTTTTTTCCAGACCAAATAAAAATAAATTATGTGCAAAAACTGCCGATCCCATGCCAAATTTAAGTGTTTAGCTATGTAAATCAACAAATTCAAACTCAGATAGTCTTTGTACATAAAGGCAAAAGTGCACCATTTGTAGTCCATTATTCACCAACTTTAAGAAATAAAAAGACCTATGAATTCTGGGTATTTGCTATAATCTCCAAAATACCTATTCTAACCCACCAAATATCATTTTATACATTAAACTATAATTTTCTGCAATCATAAAAAAAAAAGGCTGATACAAAGATTTCTCCAAGTCAAAACAAAGATGCAGTAAATGATATGGCTGCTATGGGAAAAAATAATCTACTACACTGTTTTACTTCCAAATTCTAGCACAACAAAAATCTTCATCATGACATTGCCCTGGCAGTCTGCTTTGCACATAATGAGCAGAGGACTTTCCCCAGAAAGGGCTCCCTACAGCTTGCAGCCACTAAATATCCCCACTCTTGGATAAAATGTTCCCCAATTCATAAGGATGGAAAGGTCAAGAATTTTACTCAGTCCCCAGCACTTTCACAAGCCATAAAAATTCTGCTTCCATTTTTCTCAGCCCTTAGCTGTTATATTGGTTCTAATAAGCCTCCTTAAACAGCATAAGTATTTCTTCTCAATTAGCTGATTTAAATGAAATAAAAATAAAAATTGAGTGTGAGCTCTTTACTTATATTCTTTGTTTCAGTTTTCAGTTGAAAAAAAAATTCACTAACGGTCAGAATTACTATATGACTGGTTCCCCAACAACTAGTATAGTGCCTGGGATATAGTAGGAACTTAATAAATAGTTAAAAGAAGATTAAATTTTGTAGAAATTCCAACAAGAAGCCTATAGTATTTTTGGAACTAGTATAAAGTAAAGTTTTATTCATAAGAGTGATTCATTCTTTGGTACAAGATGGGTATACCTATTACCAATCATTTAAAAATAAACTAACCATTTTAATAAAATGAAATGTTATCCTATCTAATGAAAGAGTAATATGCAAATTTACCATACCTCCGCTACACCCACAAGCCACTCACACCTGCCAATCAGGAGTGAATATGCAAATAAATCCAACCAAGATGGCTGCAACCACAAAAGCAGGAGGGAGGCTTGGGTTTCCCCAGTAATGGAGGAAGCCAAGCTTTCCACCTTCTCTTGTTGGCCCCGGCCTCCACTCAATGCTACAAAGTTTCAATGATAGAAGATAAATAAATCCCAACAAAAATGTTGGCAGCCACAGAGCTAGAGGGAGCAGGAGGCTTGAGTTGTTCCCGGAGATGGAGGAAGCAAAGCTTTCTGCTTGCCTTGGCCATCTCAGGCCTCCACTTTAGGCTACAAAGTTTCAATTGTAGAAGATAAATAAATCTCAGATATCAGGGCCTTCACTTGAGTCACTGGGGGGCATGGTCGGCATGCAAACCACCACAGGCCCCTCGCCCAGGCCACCCTGGTCCGGGACACTCTTCAGGACAAACCAGCTCCCCCCCTTCCCCCCATGCACCAGGCCTCTATCCTATCTAATAAAAGAGTAATATGCAGATTGGCAGTCACTCCAACACACAAGACGGCTGCCCCCATGTAGTCAAAGATCCTGCCCCCATGTGGACACAAGATGGCCACCACAAGATGTTCAGCAGGGAAGGGCAGTTGGGAGGGACCAGGCCTGCAAGGGAGGGCAGTTGGGGGTGATCAAGCCTGCAGGGGAGGGCAGTTAGGGGTGATCAGGCCAGCAGAGGAGGGAAGTTGGGGGTGACCGGGCCTACAGCGGGGAGGTGCAGTTAGGGGCAAACAGGCTGGCAGGTAGAAGCAGTTAGGAGAAATCATGAAGGCAGGCAGGCGAGCAGTTGGGAGCCAGCAGTCCTGGATGTGAGAGGGATGTCCAACTGCCAGTGGGATCAGGCCTATATGGGCAGTTGGATATCCCTCGGGGAGTTCCAGATTGGAGTGGGTGCAGGCTGGGCTGAGGGACACCCCCCATGCACGAATTTCATGCACAAGGCCTCTAGTGACTCTATAATACCAAAAGCATTCAAATGTTTGTGTTATCTATCACTATAACTCATGTGGATTTGTCCTACATGCCAATTGCAAAGAATTTCAAGCTAAGGCTAAGTTTTGTATAACAGCAGGTTAAGGCTTTATAATTAATCAGTGTTGATTCTAAATTATTTAACACTTTAAAAATATGTGTATTATATTAGCATTATTTGAATTCTAAATTGAATTCATTATATTAATTATAAAATATTTTATATAGTACTCAAGCAGTGCTTTCCTAAAGATATTAAACATCGAAAAAATATTTCAAAATAATTAAATGATCTAATATCTCATTTTCACACTAGCTAATAGTTATTTGATATTATATGGTGGAGAAGCATACTTTCTACCATATAATAAAACAACAGTGAATGCCTCTTTCCAGCTTTGCTGCAAGATAAGTTACAATTGGAGCAAAGTAAAAATTGGACTACAACAAAACCTCACTGCACAAAAGGCATAAATCTTCCACAGGCCCTTCCAGTCTTGAGGCGGAAGAGCAGTATCTCGCTATGAGGCAAGGAGCACACATTTTTAACCCAAGTTAATTTACCTGCAAAACTCTAATTCCAAATCAAAATGAACTTGACACTTGAACACAATACAAAAACACAATCATCTATGAATGATTCTTGATTTTATGAAATCTGCTGTTTTTGATAAACAAACCTATTTTTGTCTCAGTATGCAAGTCAATGACCAAAATTAGAGATACTTCTCTAAACTGTGTTTTAATTCCTGTTTATAGAGATGAGGTGGATGGAAGCATCCCTCATGGAGGGTCTGAAACATTTTAGGGCAATCTGGAATATCTTCATCTGTTCCAAAGGCAGGGGCGAACGAAACGAACCAACACCTGACTCCCTTCCTCTCTTTAAGAATTACTCTAGTCACTCCACTTAACATAGGGTGTAGCCTTGCCCTTTGCTGCATTTTAATCCAAGCCGCACATATTAAATTAGCAGATTGTAGGGCAGCAGCTGTCAGCCTCTACTGTAATCAGAGAACACATCTACAGCAAACTCCTTTAATAAATTTGTTCAGATCCTCCTCTTCTAGACAAGATCACTGCAGTATAGGGGTTTTTTTTTTAACATAAAAAGGATAAAGTGCTTATTTTTAGGAGCTCAGGAAGTGGTGAAAAGAAACTAAGGGCTGAGCCAATAGCAATTTAATCTCTATAATTAGAGAAAGATGGCAGGGGAGCATCTCACAATCAACCATCGATGAACATGAACCGTGGCTGCCCTAAGATACCTGTAACATGCATACAGGCAAAATGATGCAAAGGACATTCTTCACGTTTTCTGACAGCCCAGATCACATAGTGAAAAACACTAACCCAAGGGGAAGTGATCATGCTGATTAATAAATTCCAGGGATTTCCTTGCTTAAATATAATTTGACATGCTATGCCCAATTTCCTTTTATATAGTTCTTATAATTTCTTAAAACCCTACTAAATGCTTGCATCTCAGAGTGTTGCTGTTTCAGTGGTATCAACATGTATTTCTTAATCTAAAAAACAAAATGTGTTTTTGTTGCCCATGTTCTAAGATATTTTTTTTTTCATTTAAGTCAGAATCCAGACATAAGCAGTTGCATAATTATTAGTTTCACTGATAGGGGAAAAAAATACAGGAGATGAAATAACTTTTTAAAAAAATTTGGGCCGAAACCGGTTTGGCTCAGTGGATAGAGCGTCGGCCTGTGGACTGAAGGGTCCCGGGGTCGATTCCGGTAAAGGGCATGTACCTTGGTTGCAAGCACATCCCCGGTGGGGGGCGTGCAAGAGGCAGCTGGTCGATGTTTCTCTCATTGACGTTTCTAACTCCCTCTCAATTCCTCTCTGTGTAAAACAATAAAATATATATATATATATTTTTTTTTTTTTAAATTTGGAACTTGGCTTTATAGGAATAAAGCCATAAGTTCAATGTATATTTTCCACTGTCTTGATTAGAGCCTTGGAGAAAATGTCCATCCTTCACCCTTTTCCCTGGGGGTGGCCAACATTATAAAAAGCCAGGTTGGGGGCGGTCACTAGTATCAATTTATGCTCAAGTCCCTGGAGGCAACATACCCACAAGTGACAACCTCCACCAGATAATTACTAACGCTACTGTCCACTCTCAACTTGTCAGACAAACACAGTCTTATTTTCCTTCATTGCCATTTGGCCTTTGTCACTTCAAGTGTTTCTACCACATGAAGAAAAAAAAGAAAAAAATATATATATATCCCAATCCATGTATCCTGCTCAACTACAGATGTAATATGCTTAGACAGGTTAGCAATCTAAAGTCCCTGCTTGATTTATATTTGAGATCATCTGTGAATTTCAGTTCCTGGCTATCCACAGTGTTGCTGAAAATAAAGGTTACTTCCACAGCAGCTGTCCAAGTCAAACTTGACCTTGAGCACAGCAGAGCATCAACACAAATATCAAATTAAATTTATCAAGTGTTAAGTTTGGAATACATCCAAGGAGATCACAGCTGTGTCATGGCAGAAAGAATCTGGGATTTGGAGCCAGAAAACCAGAGCTGCAGCTGTCTTATCAACAGACCACAGGAACTTGGGCCAGTTGTGTCTATCTATACTCAGCTTTCTCTAGAATATCAAGTGAATAACATTAGTTATCACATCGCAAAGAATATTCAACATGAAATTAGATGACAGAATGCATGCAGAAAAACACACCAGAAAATATACAAAAGATAGCAATCAAAAGCAGTTACTGAAGCACTGTCATTGTGACTAATTATGATTATTGGATAATTCTTTGTTACAACTGGTGGCTAGATTAGACTTAAAAAAAGGAAGGCAGAGCTCAGGGATGTGTCAGGCTTCCCTTCCATCCAGCCAATGGACTCAAAATCCCTAAAATTCTGCTGCCTTGGACTATCTTTCCAAACAAACAAGTCCAAGTTTAAAGAAAGCTTGCCACAGAAAGCCAACTGTGAAAGCTTTTTAGGTCTCATTGGTCCCCAGATCCAAATTAACAGCAACAATAAATGCACCTGCCTTTGGTGGTGGGGGAGGGGTTTGAATGCTCCTGACATACTTTTAAGATTCTTTAATTTTAAAGACTTTGACTCAAAATTAAAATACAATAGCATCAAGGAAAAAGATGGTGACTGGCAAGAAGGGAGGGAGAGTGTGTGAGAGTGAGGGAGTGATAGAGGAGTATGTGGACGTGGATGGTGTGTATGTGAGAGAGAACAAGGGACAGTTAGATACTGCACGTCTTCTGGGGGCTGCCAAACCAGACAGTCTTAGACAGCAAAACCCTGCTGCCACCATGAAGACTCCAGTGGTGGCCATTGTGGGCACAGAGACCATGTTATCTTGAAAAACAGAATTGCTTAAGACTAGGATCCTAGCCTCAGTATCACCCAGTCTGGTCTCAGATGCAAACCAGGACCCTGCAGCCACTAGGGAAAAAGACCTGCAACCATAGCTGCAGATTCACGGACAGCAAGAATCCGGACATCCCAGCAGCAGATTTCTGTGAGTCACAGAGCCCATCCCCCTCCCCACAGGCCTGCTGCAGTGGCAGAGGAACTGCTAAACCCACACCGCGCAAGCAGGCCTCCTGCCCACACAAAGCGGCTGCACTATCTGAATTTGAGCCTGGGTGTGCAGACACTGGGAGTCTGTTTCCTGCAGTGCGCACTCTAATTTGGGGCAAGCACACATGAAAGTCTGTTTTCCACAGTGTAGAAGTGGACCTCCTGCTGACACAGGATGGCTGTGCAACACGCCCCCCAAGCAGACTGGGGACCCTGATTTTCCATGTGAGAGGCAATATTGATCACCAATAACTTGACTCTGTTTCTCATACGTGCATGTGATCCCTGATTCCAAGTGATTCCAATTCTCAGTGCATAAGCACGAGGTTGCACCACACAACAAAGTCTCTGATACTCTATTCTCAGCATGGGCACTGGGGGACTCTGACTCTTGGTGCATGCCAGGGGACTCTGATTTTTGGCATATGCCAGCATAGTGCAGGAGGGGTCTTTGATTCTAGCTGCACACACAAGGCCGCAGTGAGTGCTGGTGACTCTGATCCTGGGCAAGTGTGGCTCCCGATCCATGGCAACCACATGTTTTGGTGTCAGAGCTCTTCAGTGACGCTTGGGAGGTGTGAAGCTCCCGCGGCGCATGGCGTAGGCCCACACAACTTGGTATTTGGACCTTTTGGTGATAGTTAGAATGGGGAGACAATAAGACAATCACAGAAAAAAGAAAATGAAGATTTGCCAAGAAAGGATATAAGTGAAATAGAAACATGCAACACGATAGAAAAAAATTCAGAGTAATGGTCATACAGTTCATAAACCAGATAGACAAGAAAATCAACCTATGCAAAAATCAGGAAGAAATAAAAAGTGATATAGCCACTATCAAAAACACCAATGGAAAGTTTCAAGAGTAGATTAGAAGAAGCAGAGGACCAAATTAGTGAGTTAGAAGATAAGGTAGAGAAACAAGCCCAATCTAAACAGCACATGGAGAAAAAAATTAAAAAGCAGAAGAGCCCTCTCTGGTTTGGCTCAGTGGGTAAAGTGTCAACCAGTGGACTAAAGGGTGCTGGGTTTGATTCCAGTCAAGCACACATGCCTGAGTTGCAGGCTCGATCCCCAGTAGGCAGCCAATCAATGATTGTCTCTCATCATTGATGTTTCTATCTCTCTCTCTCTCCCTTTCCCTTCCTCTCTGAAATCACAATAAAAATAAAAAATTAAAATTAAAAAGCAGGAGGAGAGCCTAAGGGAGCTTTGGGACAACACAAAATGAATAACATACAATAGCACTAACAGAAAGACAAGAAGAGCAGCAAGGATTAGAAAGTCTATTTGAAGAAATAATGATAGAAAACGTCCCTGTTATGGAAAAGAAAATAGTTACACAAGTACAAAGAATCCCAAGCAAGATGAATCCCAAAAGACCCACACCAAAAAAAACATCATAATTACAATGGCAAATGTTAACAAAAAAGAGAGAATCTTAAAAGCTGCAAGAGAGACAGGGAGTTACCAACAAAGAATCCACCATCAGATTACCAAATGGTTTCTCAAAAGAAACACATCAAGCAAGAAGGGAATGGAATGAAGTATACAAAATGATGCAAAGCAAAGAACTGAATCCAAGAATACTCTATGCAGCAAGACTATCAATCAAAATTGAAGGGGAAATCAGGAGCTTTGCAGACAAGAAAAGGCTAAGAGAGTTTATCACTATCAAGCCAGCAATGCAAGAAATGCAGGGAAGAGTTGGGGAGGTAAGAAATCAACCAAAGGACTTGTATGCATGCATATAAGCACAACCAAGAGACACAAGACATTGGAGGGAGGGGGAAGTGAGGGCAAGTGCCAGGGGATAGGGGAGGCTAGGAGGAGTTCAATTTAGGGGCGGGGGGGGAGATGAGACATATATACTACTATTTATATTTATAATATCTTAAACAATAAAATAAATAAAATTAAAAGATTAAAATAAAATACAAAAGCATCAGATGGATATCTTAAAAGACTATTTCAACCTTATGCAAATAAGAATAATAAAATAGATTATTCAAAACTACAAAATTAAAATTAGCAACTTTTTCATTTCTGTAACACATTAAAAATATAGGGATGGTCCCTAATTTTACTACCATCACTTGACAAATATGTTTCAAAAGAGAAAATACCACTACCACCACCACCACCACCACCACCACCACCTTTATCACGTCCACCTCCGTTGTTAACGTTTTAATATCAAAGCACTCATTACTCTAAGAGCAGCTTCAATATCCAAATAAAATACATTAATTCAAACACTCCTGTTTGCTATTAATAAAAAAGCAGCCTCGTTCATTTCCTTTATAATTTTTGTGATAGATATTTTTCAAGAATCATTCCACAAAGCCATTCCAGATTATGAAAAAAGCAAAAGGATATTAAATCTAGGTTAAATTTGTGATAAATGAAAAATTTAACTGCTACACTGAATTTAATAGTATTTATGAATTTAATAGTATTTTACGACATTTATTTAGGCTGATTTAATATGACCTGGAACTTAAGATGACTCTTTTAGGTAAATATAAAGGTTTATGGTTAACCTATTTTTAAGATATTGTTGATTATAACCACATTTTAATTGATATCAATGTCTTAGAATTCTTAATGATGGAAAATTTGAATAAAAACATCCACCTGCATGCCAGGATTTCCTTATGAAGGGATCACTGCTTCTAAGGCACTTTTCCCCCTTCTCTTATATATTTAGTCATGAGAAAATTCATTTTTAAAAGTTCCAATATGTGCATTTGAAATAAATGTAAAAAGAAGGAACAGTCTTTAAGAAACATTCCTTCTTGGTCACATTGAAATCCCATCTAATATTCTCAAACAGTTTAGAGACTGTTCATGGATATAACAGAACACTGTTTTTGCAAAATGCATTCTTATTCACATAGTGTTCCTAGATTGCAACACCTGAGCATGTCCATTTCCCATTTAAAACACTGACTTAAATAGTAGTTAGAAGAGTTAGGACCACTCAGCTTCCAATATAAAATTGTCCTTTCTAATCACTCTCGGTGGTTGAAGTGATATGATAAGGAATATTGGTTATTCACTTCATCAATATATGTATCATTTTCCCTTTCTTGAATTGATATCGGTTTTTACTTTTTTAAAGATGGCAATTCAGGATCTAAAAATTCAATAAAAATGAAAAACCCAAAACATACTTCTATCATCATGAAATTTCTTGCACGTTTTTACTGCAACAAAAATATCCTCCTTCTTCACTGGATTTCCCTAAAAAAAGAAAACACACACAAGGAAAAATAGATACATATATGAATGCACGTTATCTTAACTTCCTACCTACTTCAGATCTCACATGCTCTAGAGGTCAAATGCATTAGTGTCAGGGACATCTTCCTGTTTCTAGGAAGAAGTTTTAGGAGGAAAAGGAACTGTAGCTCAACTGAAAACAAAGCCTTAGATGTCAGCCAGACCAGGACTGGAATCCTACAATGTTGCCACTCATACAACATGTCATCTGGACAAGTCCCTTCAGCTCTCTGAGTTTCAGTCTGCCACTGAAAAAGTGGGAAAAGTAACCACCAGTAAAGCTGCTTTATTAAGCACACCAGAGGTGCCCAATAAATGTCAACTACATTCCCTTTTCTTTTTTCAGTTGATAAAGGTTTTAATAAAAGGAGAGAACTAAGTAGTATAAAAAAAGAGATGACTCCCTTTGGTGGGCCTGAACTTACTGTGATGTTTAAAGTATTTTTATGGTTCTCTTAACTGTCTACCCAAGTCTAGGCTACACTGCTGTTCTGTCCTATGCCAAAGTAGAATTACTTCAAACAAGTAATTACTGATGGTGGGAAGGGCTGGAGCCCTAAGCTGGCTCCAGTCCAGCTGATCACTCAGATGAAAGGGGACCCATAGATCTGTGGACAACTCATTCCCAAGGCCAAGGACTGCATCATGGGTGTTCTGATGGCTTTATCAGCTGTTTAGGCCTTCAATGAAATTCAGTCATGCTTCCTACATGCTTCCTACATCATGTGGGATTGGTACATAGTGACATCTAACCACAGCTTTGTCATGTCACTCAAGATACTAGGAGGTCGCCCTCCCCACCAGTTTCCCTAGAACAAGCATTAAAGAACAAGCAAATATAATGTCTACTATTGGGCAAACATTACAGATTCACCCCATTGTTTGTGTGTGTGTGTGTGTGTGTGTGTGTGTGTGTGTGTGTGTGTGTGTGTATGAGAGTAAGAGAGAGAAAGAATATATATTCATCTGTCAAAATGCAACACATAGATTTCTGTGTGACTGACTTGAGAATAACAGATAACATTTGGTGGTGAGTAAATGTTTCCTTATGAGCAAGAACTGGTCACAATCTAGTGAGGTTCAAGGCCTTCATGCTTGTCCTGGGGCCTGGACTGAGGGCTGCATAAGGAGGAAGTTCATTCTGGATGTTCTGGACAGTGTCAGTGAGATCAACGTGGGGTCACCAGCTGAGAGAGTAATGGCTGAGGAGAGGCTTGGGTATCATGGGAAATATTTGAAATTGCCTTTCTCGGAAATGGACTAGGTATTCTGATAAACAATTGCTATATCATCAACAAAAGAAGTGACTCTGAAGAGCATGGCAGGCAATACTGCAGGAAGGCTCTGGAGGAGGCTGTGCTGGTCACTGTGCAGCCTCGAGCAAGGATTCCTCAGTGCTTCTCTCCTTCCTCTGTGAAATGGGATGGTGACAGTGTTTACCTTAGAGGGCTGTTATTAATAGAAACATGATGTACAGTTCTTCTTGGGGCACAACAAATATTTCTTTTTTAATATGTAAAGTGCTGGGAAAACATATACACAGCAAGTACATTATCCTTTTTGATGTGCAAGGAAGTTTTTCTTCTATTACTTACACACAGGGGGAGGGAAGAGTGGAATGTGGTAGCACAGTGGGCATCCACACCATCTGTACACAACTCAGGCACTGGAGTAAGGGGAGATCCTTTACCGTTGTCCCAGATGTAGAGGGCAATCTGTCAGAAGGCAGGAGACCAGCAGTGAAAAAAGGAACTCAACCAATGCCACAAGTATGAGAAGGTATGCAACAGTTCAAGGAAGAGCAATCACACTTTCTATAGGCAGTATGAGATAGGAGCATGTCAATTTGTCAACATTCAACAGCTCTTTACTTACAAAAATAGTAATTCCATATGTACTAACCTATCTTTTATTAATGACAATAAACTAAGAATCAATATCCTGACCTGAAAGAAATTCCAAAGTTGTTATAAGCAACTAGTGGCCCAATGCACAAAATTCATGCATGTTAAAAAGGAATTAATTAGAAGGAATATTTTAATATGTCAAGTCTCTCTGATGTGGGGCTGCAGCCTTACGTCCCCCAGCCCAGTGATGGGCAGGGGGCACAGCCTCACGTCCCCCGGCCCAGCACCAGGGTGGGGAGCACAACCTGAGGTCCCCTGTCAAGCCCAGCAAGGCAGGGGTGCAACCTGAGGTTCCTTGCCCCGGCCAGGAGGCATGCAGCCTCAGGGGCCTGCTTTGGTTGTGACGTTATGGCATCCTGGCTAATTTGCATATTCCTTTATTATATAGATAGATTGTAGGGAAGCTATTATGAGGATTCCCAAACATCACAGAGAAAGATGCAAGAAAATATTATCATGACTGGTTTCCTGCAGTATGGTAATGACATAGCCTAACCACCCAACTTGCTGAAAACATTGGCTAATATGGACAAAATATCTTTAAAATCATCGTAAATGGCTTGCTAAATTGGCACAAAAGTGTGGAGCTTATAAGGACAAAAATGCAAGAGTGAGAACCTGGGACAAGGACACCAAGGACGACAGCCTTCCTCTGGGATGTGGAGTGTCTGATCTGAGTTCCGAGCAGACAGCCTATGACCCACCAAGGTGGGGTGACTAACAGCAAACCTTACACAGAGCTGGGAATCTGGAGCTAGATGGAGGGGAAACCACCTCCAAATCTCCTCTGGGATTTTGTAACCAAAACTTAGGCCTCCCTAACTGTACCATTTATGTGGTCCAAACACCTCAGGGGGGTTTAAAGTGGCCCCACATCAGTACAACTGGCAGCAAAAGCAAATACAAGTCCTTGCTGAGGAGCCAGGACCTCGATGTAGGACTTGGAGGGTTGTGAGACAAAGTTCCAAAGGAGCAGGACCACTCAGAGAACCTACAAAAACACAAAGAAATTAGCTGATGAGCAAGCACCAGCAGACAACTTCATCCAGATTGGCCAGGGTGGAATGACCTCGGGGAGGAGAGATGCACGGGTGGGGGGGCGGGGGGATGCGCTATTAGGGAATACAGGACACCTTTTATATCAGAAGACACGAGTTCCTGATTACTGAGACTTTTGACCAATAAAACATACCTCATGTTTCAAATCTATTGTAAAGTCGGACCTCAGGGCCTCACTCTTTAACCTCTTCGTAAGCCTAGGAAATAGAGACAATTTGAGGGTTTTTCTTAAAACAGAAGAAGTGTCAAACAAGAATAAAACATTCTTGAGATTTTCCCATGTTTTAAAAAAGGCAAAAGTACAAATTTTAAGATAAAAACAGGAATTTAATATCTGTGATACGAAGGACTATGAAAATGCAAGGACTGTTTCAAATGCAGCATTAATTATAATATTACAACATCTAGCATATAATGTAAAATACAATAAATGCCTTTTTTTTTTTTACTCCTGATAATTCTTACACTAACTATTGACAGAGGAAGAAAAAGATAGAAAAATGAAAAGCTTGCATTTCACTCTCCAACTTCTACCCAAATGAATTACAATTTGTGGAGATTTTAGTGGAAGAGAGCATGCGGTGTTGGGGGAGAATGTCATTTTCTTGCTTGAAAAATCTTCAATGTCTCCTTGCAATGCATCATCCCCACAGGCCCAGGCATGCCTCTCCACCACCCCGTCCCCTCAGCCCCTCAGCACTCATCTGCCCCAAGCAGGGCACACTCCTGCCTGTTCTCCTCTCCTGCTGTCCTGCTACCTCAAAAGCCTTCACCCAACCTTTACTTGGCAAACTTTCTTCAAGACCAAATTCAAGGCCACCTTCTCTGTGAAACCTTTCCAGACTTACCACCAGAACAAATGAAAACTTCCTTTGCTCCCAGAGGAGAAAGCACCTCCCATTAACTTTATCACATTCGCTAGTCTGTTGTGCACACATCTTTCCCTGTGCTGCACCTTCTGAGTCCTGCCAGCACTGCCCCCTGTGCCTGGCCAAAGTGAGCACTCAGTGAGCAGCCTTAATCGGCAGGCAGTGTATCGTTTGATTCCAAGCTGAGAGAGGTAGAATTGCACACTTACCAAGACCACTGGGGTTCCATATGGTTCTATAGGTTCATTACAGGGTTAGAGATTCCAATTATAAACCTCCTAATATAAATGTTAAGTATAAAGAAATAATGGTGATTTTAAAAGAAAGTAGTAATAAGTTCAGAAGTGTTTACTGAGATATTAGCTGGTTAAGCCACAGATATTTCTTCAAAAAGGTGCTTTTTATTAGAGGAAAGATAAAGAAGAGTTGTAATTTCAGTTCAGTTATAAAGCATTTGTCTCATGGTTGATGCTAACATAGCCTGGTAGCAGGTGGCTCCCAAAGAAGCCCCATGCAATCTCTGCCGATTCCTACTCAGTCTCTGCCCACACAATTGTGAGTTGGCGAGGGCAATGGCACAGGAACAGACAATATCTTCAGGCATATTCCAAAGAGTATACATCAAGAGTATACATCTGGCATGGAATCTTATCCAGTTCAAATTCTACTAATTTGGAGCCAGTTTTTATAAATAAATGATATCAAGGTAACTTTGGAAACTGGACTCATGCCAAGTGCCTCCAAAATCTGATCAGACCACAATTAAACTCCGAAACCAGGAAAAGTCACACCTTGCTACAGGCAAGGAACACAAAGCTGTGATCAGAATCCAATGTCAGGCGCCACCCATTGTGAGATGGTCACACCACCCATGCCTCTTCTTAACAGACAATAAACACCTCTAAACTGTTAGCCTAAACATGCCCTCTATCTTTGTTTTTAAGTTTCTTTCTCATTCAATTCTTGAATTATTTTCTTTGGGGGGAACCTCAGAGAGGTGAAAAGTGAAGACCAAGGACTGTCTCTTTAAGATAAATAATGACAGCCGAAACCAGTTTGGCTCAGTGGATAGAACTTTGGCCTGCAGACTGAAAGGTCCTAGGTTCGATTCCGGTCAAGGACATGTACCTTGGTTGCAGGCACATCCCCAGTGGGGGCTGTGCAAGAGGCAGCTGATTGATGATTCTCTCTCATCGATGTTTCTAACTCTCTATCCCCCTCTCTTCCTCTCTGTAAAAAATCAATAAAATATATTTTTTTAAAAAAGATAAACAATGACCAACTGGAGGACAAATAACTATGTGCACTGACATTTTTAAGTGGCTGTGTCTAGCAGCCCATGGAGTGATGGCTACCTCAACATCACCAACTTCATGTTGATGGGTCACCTCATGCGGCCACGTGGCACTGTGAGCCTAAGTCAGTCACCTGCAAATGTGTTCAGTTCTAAAAGTATGCAGGATATTCCCCTAACATAAAAAGCTAGTCCTAGTAGTGGGAACTTATTTTCACCTTTCTATATACCAAGCAAGACAAGCACAAGGGTTTTTAAAATGCTAATTTCAATAATCAACAAAGACCCACCCACAACAATTAAGGCCAGAAATTTAAATTGCTTTGATAAAATATTTCTGCATTAAATAGTTCCTGTCAAATACAACATTTGATATCCAGCTTTCCTATTTTTAGAAGGCGTTAAGTCTTGACCCAATAACAGTTCTAAGGACACACCAGCTAGACTGGAAACTACAACAGACGTAGAGCCTCTTTGACTCCATTCCAGGAAATCTTCCCACGAGACTTTTCTGGTTCCACTTGCAAGCCAGTCAACAGAGTGAACTGTTGAAGGAAATCTAGGTAAGGTTTGCTGGTGGAAAAACAATGAAGAGCAGTAACAGTGTTCTGTAGTAACACCTAATTGAGGAAATCACCTTATTGGAAATTAATGAGTTTTTCCAAAGATGCTAGCATGTTTTTATGGATACTATTAGATCCACTGTTAGAATATCCCACAGGTGGATCACCTCTCCCAAGAGATTCCAGTTTTTATTAACTCTTGAGCTCGATAAATGGACTCCAGGGTTAGAATTAGTTTGAGCCTAACACAATCACTGAAATTCCCTGGCAAGTGTTAATGGTCCAGGGGTTGGTACGTGCCTAAAGTTGATCCAACCAATTTCACTTGGACAAGGTCCAACTAAAGACTGAGGATAAGCATTTACTTCCATGATTAGAGAGGTTCTCTTACTCTTGGACATAAATAAAACACATTAGTCCATAGTACCTTGAAACCACAAAGGGAACCAGATTTAGGATGAACTGAAGCTGTGTACTCAGCAGGAGAGACAGAGAGAACCAGGGTCCTCAGCAACAGTGTTGATCTCCTGCAACAACCAACCACAGATCTCACCTTCCACAAACCTCAGACAGCAGTGAGGTTTGAATTAACAGGAATAATATGTCCTTCATCCAGCCTGAGAACTACATAGCTCCCAATTACAGGAGGAAATCAAGTCAGCACATTAGCTTTGGAATGGGGAGAAGCCAACTGGGAAGATCCAGTGTTGCAGTTGATGGAGCTAACTAGTACTTATGCTTCCTTTATTCTAACTATAATACCAATTTCTTGAAAAATAAATAAGAATCTCCTATTGGGAGATCTGTATCTGGGTCACATTAGGTGCTAAGCTAAATGGATTATGTCTTTTTTATTTGTTTGTTTGTTTTATTACTTGTCTGTATCATAAGAAAAAGGAAATACAGTCTAAGATAAGCAGAATTTTTAATTTGGTCCTATGACAGAGTCTGCATTTTTTATTTTGTTTTGTTTTTGCTGTCAATGGAAATGGAAGAAAGACAGGGAGAAGACCATGAATATTAATTAACTACAAACATCCCATGGTTTGTTGGTAATTGTTCAGTGTTGTGAAAGCAGATGACACTCAATATGGAAGCTAACTGGTGCCTCCTTCCTCTATGATGCTATAATTATGGGGCAAGTACTAGAAATTTTCTGAACTCATAAAAAAGAATAGTCTTTTGGCCCAAATTCCCTTAGCTGTAGCTCTGTACACATACTACTACAGGGGCATGAAGTCCTAAGCTTGTCCAAAAGGGAGTGAGCTGGCACTTGTCAACGGGTATTTTCGATGACTTCATAAACACAAGAAAGAAAATGATGTGCCTGTAGAACTATCTCTACAGCAGTGTTTCCCAAAGTGTGATACTCGTACCCCCAGGGGTACGGGAAAAGTTTGGTGGGGGTATGAGTCACACCGGAGTTTGGTTGGGATATGCACTGCACCGTGCTTAGCCGCGCCTAATTCTACGTTCTCATGAGTACGAGGGGTACTCAGCATTACAAAAATTATAGAAGGGGTACACATAAGTTTGGGAAACACTGCTCTACAGGGTGCCAGGCAGTCCCTAACATAAGTGCTGAATATGTGTCTGGTGCAGAACCAGCAGCTCCAATTCACAAAGCCCCGGCAGCTGGTCACATGGTGACATGAGGTAGGAGATGAGCCATGGAACCTGCCAGTGCTTGGTGGCCTCTACACATGTGAGCAGTGAGGCCAGACAGCAGAATCATAGACCCAGAGGTTTTGTACACCAGGTGAAGCCTTAATGCCACCAAGGCCAGCAATAAGACTGGACAAAGCTCACCTGTATGAGGATAGTGGGAGTCAAATACATGTTCAAGACACATTACTACCAACCACCTGGTTTAAAAGGGGAAGGTAGGTATTTCTTTTTTTAAAATATGTTCTTTTAAAATTCTTTATTGATTAAATTATTACATGAGTCTTCTTTTCTCCCCCATTGACCTCTTTCCTGCCATCCCCTCTCCCAAGCACAAGTCCTCACCCCTCTACTGTCTGTGTCCTTTGGTTTTGCTCATAGGCATGTATACAAGTCCTTTGGTTGATCTCTTACCCGCTCACACCCACCCTCCACCTTCCCTCATAGGTTGTACAGTCTGTTCGATGCTTCTACGTCTCTGGCTCTATTTGTGTTAATAAGTTTTTATTGATTGAAGAGAGGATAGAGAGATAGAAATATCAATGATGAGGGCAAATCATTGATCAGCTGCCTCCTGCATGCCCCAAACTGGGAATCAAGCCTGCAACCCAAGCATGTGCCCTGAGCAGGAATCAAACCAGGACCTCTAGGTTCGTAGGTCAATGCTCAGCCACTGACCACGCCAGCCAGGTGAAGACAGGTATTTCTTACACCTAACTCAGTAAAAGGCGAATTGTATTCAGCATTAAAATAGGTTTCCAAGAAGGTCCTTGCTAGCTGGAAAAATAAGGATGGAAGAAGAAAGGTGAAACTCTCTGGACTAGCAGGATTTGCATCCAGGATGAGACACTTCCAAGTTCAGAGGGGTGGGATGGAGAAAGCAGTTATGCTGGCTTCAGAGAAATGGCTATAGCCTCTGGCTTACTGTTCAGGCTCTTTGTAGGTCTGTTGGTTTTCTCTTTGGCTCTGAGGGAAGGAGGTGCTGTCTGCACTCAGAGAACATTCAGGACAGGTTATAGCTGTACTTGTCCCTCTATCAAGAGAAAGGCAATTCTCTCTCCTCAGGACCCATGCCCTCTGCCCCAGCCCGTCTAAGAATGGAGCAGGAAAACTGAGGATCCTCCTGGACATGCCTGGTGAAGACTGGGAGCAGGGCGTCCTTGCTCAGCTGTTTCAGGGCAAGCACAGAGTCATGGTTTTAGTTGAAGATAACAGAATCCACGGTTGCCAGTTTAAGCACAAAATACATTTATAAAAGCATATGGATGGCTCACAGGATTACTGGAAAGTCAGAAGAAACTCTAGGCTGAGATTGTCAGAATAATCCAACAGAAATGGGTAGTCAAGGGATTGTGGCCTCTGCCTCCATTAGGAAGCTGCTAAGCATCAGGGAGCCACTGTCTTGGCTGCCAGACCCCAAATGATCCCTCTCCTATCATAACCTCTCAGGTCAATGGACCCAAATGCGTTATCTCCTTCCCTTTATAACTCAGTTCCTAAAGAGAATTTTCCATGGGACACTTACCTGATGGAAGTTGCCTTCTCTCCCTGCCCTGCCCTCCACGCGGGACTGTTCCCTAGCAGTAAAGAAGGCTAAACAGCACCGAGTGTTGTTGTTGTAATTTTTGGATTCTCAACAGAAAATATTATTAACCTTGAAAATATTTTGTCAAGAAAGCGATTACACTGTAAGGAACTTTCAAGTGTTAAGGGACTCGTCATGCAGTTTCAGCCAGCCACTAATGGCAAGGTATCTACTACTTCTATACCTACAACTGGCCAGGAAGCTTTTCAGGACTCCAAACCCTAGATACAACACACTTCATGTAAGAAATAGAAACCTTTCACCCTTGAAGACATAAAGGCCAAAACTGTTTTATCATCTTTCCATTCCTTAAAAATTTAAAACCCATAATAATTAATCTGAAGAATTCAGATTAATGAGGACCTGTTAATTACCACATTTCTCCAAAATTACAAATTAATTATCTTTATTTTCCACATCTAAAGAAACCATCATAAAATTAAATAAGTAGTAAAAAATAAAATAAACAACATCAAATAAATAAATAAATAAATAACAAAAAATAAAAATAAAAAAGCATTATTGCAATTATACACACAAAGAGCTGGGTATGAATATCTACAATACCTCCTGACCCTTTGTGTAGCCCATGTTTAAGCATCCATATCCATACACCTGACTAGTAATCAATTGCCAATCCCAAACATGTTACTGATTTGCTTTCTTACTGACAAAGTCAGGCCTATTTATTATTGACTAGATCCATTATCAACAGTAATGACTCTCTTTTGATATCTTATATAATAAAGAGGTAATATGCAAATTGACCATCATTCCAACACACAACTCAGTATTAATATACTATATATATTCATATACTATATATATATTCATATACTATATATATATATTCATATACTATATTAACACTGAGTTGTATATATTAATATACTAGAGGCCCAGTGCATGAAAATTCATGCACTAGAGGAGGGGCATATCTCAGCCTGGCCTGCCCCTTCTCACAGTCCAGAAGCCCTCAGGGGCAGGAGACATCCCAGTGATCATGGGAAGGCCACACCCCCATCACACCTCTGCTGCTACCAGTGCGAGCAGCACAAGCCTTGGCCAGCCCTGGTTACCTGAGCTTCAGATGACCCTGGGTAATTGGGTAGCCACCATCAGAGGCTTGCCTGCACCTTGGGCCAGCCCTGAGCAGCTGGGGGATTGAGGGGACTAGGGGACTCTAGAGGCAGGCACACAGATCAGCTGGACCCACTTGGGGGCTAGCCCAAGCTGTGCTGTGCACCTGCCACCCTGGCCAGGCTGAGGGGACTGTGTGCCACCATCTTGTGGCTGTGGGCACCGCAATCTTTGAGGATGTGCCAGTCAATTAGCATATTCTTTCTTATTGGCTGTGGGCTCTGCCATATTTGTGATTTTCCCTCTTTATTAAATAGAAGATACACACACACACACAAACACACACACACACACACATATATATGTCCTATTTAATAAAAGCCTAATATGCTAAGTGTCTGGTCATCTGGTCAACCGATCAAAGCATAATATGCTAATAATATGCTAAGACCGCTCAACTGATGACCATGACATGCACTAACCATCAGGGGGGAGGTGCTCTGACTGGTAGGATAGTTTGCCACTGGAGACTGAGATAGGCTGAGTGAGATAGGCTGAACATGCCCTGGAACCCTCCGGTGGTCCCTCCTCAGCTGGCCAACCTCCTCCATCCCTCCCGGCCCCAGTCGTGCATTGGTGGGGTCCTTTGGCCTGGCCTTCACCCTCCCGCAATCCAGGACCCCTCAGGGGATGTTGGAGAGATGGTTTTGGCCTAATCCTGCAGACCAAGCCAAAGGACCCCACTGGTGCACAAATTCATGCACCAGGTCACTAGTATGTATATATGTATCTATATATCTATATATATCTATATATCTATATATCTATATGTCTGTCTATATATCTGTCTATATATCTATATCTATATCTATATCTATACCTATATCTATCTATATATATATATATATATATATATATATATATATATATATATATATAAAGAGAGAGAGAGAGAGAGAGAGAGAGATTTTTAAATAGTGAGGGAGAGGGAAAGAAACATTAATATGAGAAAAAAACATTGATTAGTTGCCTCCTTCATGCACCCTGACCGAGAATCAAACCCACAACCTGATTACATGCCCTAGGGAGAGATGAACTGGTAACCTTTTGGTACAAAAGTCAATGCTCAATCAATGAGACACACCAGTCCGGGCAACAACAGTAACAACACATGAAGGTAGACTTCTCAGAGCATGTATTAATATGTGCCCTCCCTTAGTCTCACGATTTGTTTTTTGTTTGTTTTAGTTTTTATGGAATTCATTGGGATAACATTGGTTAATAAAATTATATACTGTAGGTTTCAGGTGTATAATCCATCACCTGTATATTGTATTGTGTGCTCACTATCACAATTTATTATTCACCTTAGTTTGCAAGTGAGTAATAAGGACGCACAGAGGGGTTGAGTGATGAGTCTGAGGGGACTAATAAGTGATGAAGCAGAAGAAAAGAGCCCTCCAGGACTTTCCGCTCTTCCACACACTGCCTCTGGCTGAAAACCTATTTCAGATCCATCAATTGTAACACTCAACAAAATAAAATAAAAAAATCTAATAAATTCTTACTTGTTTAAAAGTGGAATACTAAGGGCCCAGCCAGCAGCAAAGTCTGGGTATTTAAAAATTGTAGGATCTTCAGAAAAGGCATAATGGTGAATTATTGTAGATTCTTCATCATGTAATGCTTTTCCTAAAAACCAGTCCTGTTAAATAAAGATATAAAATGTCATTTAAAAAATTTTTTCATGTCACACCAAAAACAGTCATATAAGTAGTTTTAGTTAATTAAATATTTGAGGTAAAAGAGAATTAGCACAGGTTATTTATTTTTTAATTTTCTTGACAAAAATATAACTAATATTCATGACAGTTAATGTAGCATAATTTATGTCTATAGAGTAATTTAATATATCATCAGAATAAATAAAATCTACTCATTATACCATAATTACATAAGTAGTAGTTTATAAAATATTCCATATCAAAACATTATTAAGGCAAAGAAAACAGTTTACACCCCATGAAAGTTTGCAAAGAATTTGAAAAACTCCTTCCAGAATCAGTGCCTATTTTATTCATTTATACATTCATTTACTCCATTAACATATATATTATTAACTATTATCAATTACCATTTAACTTTGATTCCATACCAGACAGGAACATAGCTTACACAATAGTGAGAAGACAGAAAATAAGGAAATAAAGTGAGTTCAGATACTGACTGCAATGTGCTATGATGAAAATGTACACAGTGACCAGGGGACTACTTAGAAAGAGGTAACAATTGAACTAAAGAGCAAGTACTATCAAGCAGCTAGTTATGCACAAATCTGGGGAATAACAGTCAAGGCAGTCAATACAAAATCCCTCAGGTAGGAAATCTAGTAGGGTTAGAATATACTGGCAGTGAAGAAACAATGTATAAGAAAGGCAGAAGATAGATAAGAGTGGGTTTTACATGCCAGTGGAATACAACATAGACTTTATTGTAAATCCAATGGAAGATTCCCACTTCTGGCCACAACAGAACAGCCTGGCTCAGGCCTACTCTCCCACTGAGACAAGTATAAAAGCTGGAGAAATTACTTAAAGGAAATGATTGAGAGCATCAGAAAACAACAAAGTCAGTAAGGGCTAATATCCCAGAGAAAAGATGTGCCCGTCCATGGAAACCCCATATTCATCTCCTTTTACTCTCAGGATTTGCTGATTCCCAGAGCAGAGAGATAAACACCACAGAAATCAGAGCTGAGGACTCTGCAACCTCACTAGACTAAAACAGAGGCTGGAGCTGAAGATTGCCCAAAAGGTAGATTTAAGAAAACCCCATTAAAGTGAGCCCAAAATTTCATGTGTAATCTTTCTTCAATACCAAAGCCAAAGGAAAAACCAAGAAGTAAGTGGAAAGTGGCAGTGGAGAGGCTAAAGAGCTGGGCACAGACTTCAGCAGTGATGCAGGGGAGCCCCACGCTGAAGGACAGGGTGTGCCAGGGGAGAAGGGGCCTAAGAGTAAGGACACAGACCTGTCCAAACAAGGTCTACAACCTAGAATATTAATTTCTCCTGTAGGATAGGTATTCATCCACGACTCTAATTTTTCACATAAAATATCTGTTGTTTAGTGAAAAATTACAATGTATTGCAAGCAACAAGACCACACTACAAACGAAAATAAAAATAAAAAACAAACCCTCAGATAAGTCAGATTTTGCAGTTATCAAAAACATAAATATGATTCAAATAGTTAATGAAATAGCTGAGAAGATGAAGAATTTTACCAAAGAACTAGAATATATAAACAAGACTCAACTGGAAATTCCCAAATTGAATAATACAATAACTGAAGTAAGAAATTCAAGAGGATATTAGACAAAAGAGAAGAGAAGATTAGTGGCCTCTAAGGCAAGTCAATAAAAAAAAATATCCAGATTGATATACAAAAAGTAAATAAATAAATAAATAAATAAATAAATAAATAAATAAATAAGAAGCAGGAAAGTACAAAGAAGAGCATAAGAGCAATATGGGATACCAAGAAAAGATCGAAAATATATAAAATAGGAAACCCAGAACAGAAGGAGAAAAAGAATGAAACGGAATTGATTTTTATAGAAATACAGGCTTAGAATCTTCTAAAACTGACAAAAGTCATCAAGCCATTGATTCAGGAAGCTCTATAAACTCTATTCAAGACAAATACAAAAAGGCCCTGGACACCAGGTAGCTCAGGTGGTTAGAGCGTCCTCCTGATACTCCAAGATTTCGTGTAAGATCATCAAAAGGTGAATGCATAAATAAGTAGAACAACAAATCTTTCTTTCTCTTTCTGTCTCTCTTTCCCTCTCTCTCTCTCTCTCTCTCTCTCTCTCTCTCTCTCTCTCTCATCTCACTCATCAATAAATAAAATAATTAGAATTTAAAAAGCAAAAACAAATAAAACTGCACATAGGTATATGTTGGTTGAAAGATTGTATATAGAAAATCTTAAAAGTAGTTGGGAAGGATATACATAATTCTGTCAAAAGAATAAAAATAAGACATACAGCAGACATTTAAAAAGAAAAAATAGAATCTGAAAGACAGTAAAATAATATCTTTATAGTGATAGAAGACTTCGGCCAACCAAAAATGCTGTATCTAGTGAAAATATCTCAGGTGGAATGGGAAGCCACTGGAAGTTTTCAAGCAGGTAAATGAAATTTAGAGTCAACAGAGACAAATATCAACAGTACAACAATTGAAATTCCTTTTGAGAGCCAAATTTTTTAAACTTTATCTTCTTCTAACACCATTTCTTCAAAATAGACTCACTCAGGCCATGGTATTTTGTGGAAGAGCCACAGTCAAGGGGCCAAAGAGCCACATGTGGCTCACGAGCTGCAGTTTGCCGACCATGGGGCTAGAGTATTAGCATGGCAAGAGCAGAAACAAGAAGATGAGCTAGGAGGCTCTAATAATGGCCAAGCCAAGAGATGATGAAAGCACCAGAGTGGTAGTATTAAATATGGAGAAAAGATGAACAGGTACATTTTGGAGGTACAGTCAACTAAACATGCATACATAGGATTGAGGAAAAAAGAGGAATCAGTCATGATGCTAGGTTTTTCATATGAGCAACTGGATAGATGGGAATGCCATTTCTGAGGTGAGAAAGACTAAAGATGGAAGGGGTTTAAAGGGTCATTAAGAGTTCAGTTTCGGACATATTGAATTTGAGGTTCCTATTAGATGAATAAGTTGAGGTTTTAATTAGGCAGTTAGACATACAAATAAGGAGCACATGGCTCACTCCTTTGGTTTCTTCACCCCCTGCTCAAATGTGATCTGATCAGTGAGATGTTCCCTGAACATCCTACATAGAATAAGCCCACCCCTAATCTATCCTTTATCCCGCTTATTCGGCTTTATTTTCTCCATAGCACCAATAACCATCTTACACATTATTTGCATTTTTGCTTATTACTTATCTTTCCTGAAACAAGAATAATCTCTGACTGTGGGCAGGGCTTTTGTCCATTCTGTTCACTACTGTGTTCCTGGAACACCTAACATTATTAAGTGTTCACTAGTTTTTTGTTAAAAGCAAGCGAAGGTCAGCTTTAAAAGGCAACCACCCCTTATAAAAAAGAAACTAAAGCATATAATTTAAACCAAGAAGCCTGAGTTCTAATAATTTTACATATTTTCTCTTTCCAACCATCATCACCTCACTTTCTATTCCTAATCTTACATAATAATAAACATGTAAATTGATCGTATCTCCACTACACTCACAGCCAATCAGAGTGAGTATGCAAATTAACCCAACAAAGATGGTGGCTGATTTGCATACATACCTGGGTCCAGGGAACCTCCTTGACACCCAGGTCACTCCCAGCCAGCCATCTAGCAGAGGCTTTAGCCTTGGGAAGGGGCAGAGCCTGTAATCAGAGGGGCGGGGGGCAGGGGGTGTCTGCTTCCCAAGCCTAAAGCCTGGGGCAGATGCTTTAGGCTTTGGCAGGGGCCAAGCCTGGGATTGGAGGGAAGGGGGAAAAAAATCAATGGAAACATATCCTCAGGTGAAGATAAAAATAAAAATAAAAATAAAATGTCATATCCTATGAAAGACACATTTTGAAAATGCTTAAAGAAAGTTGTCATTTTTTCATGGTGAAGGGACTGGAGTCCGTTTTGATGAAAATACCTTGTCAGCTGCGGTGACTAGCAGTGGCTGCAGCAGTGGGGTAATGGGGCTGGCGCCTTCCCCTGATCAGCCCAGTCACCTCCCAACAGGGAGCAGGCCTAAGTCATCAGTAAGACATCCCCTGAGAGCTCCCAGTATGTGAGGGACAAATTTCATGTTCTGGCCCCTAGTCTAAAAAATAAAAGCAGGAGGGATACAGTACTGACTTTTAAGAGCCCCTTTCCATTGTGGTTGTGTCATAAATACCTTCAGAGTCTTAGTGTTGGTCAAGTCAGCAACGGGTCATAAACTTAACCTGTATGTTTAGGTTCACAATTCCACCTGACGTTTTTCTTCTTGATACTTTATAAAGATATTAAGTCATCACTGGGCAACAGGTAATGCATATATGCATATAAGATCTTTTATTAATCTCTTCCTGCCCACTCTCACCTTCCCTCTGAGATTCATCAGTCTGTCCCATGTTTTTATGCCTCTGATTCTATTTTATTCATCAGTTTATTTTATTCGTTAGATTCCTTGTTCATTTATTTTTATTTTTACATAACTGTTGATAGATATGTAAATATTGCCATTTTATTGTTCAGATTTTTTTCTTCCTCCTCCTTCTCTTCCTCCTCTCCCTCTTCCTCTTCCTAAAAATACCCTTCAACATTTCGTGTAATTCTGGTTTGGTGCTAATGAACTTCTTTAGCTTGTTCTTATCTATGAAGCTCTTTATCTGACTTTCAATTCTAAATGATAGCTTTGTGGGATAGAGTGATCTTGGTTGTACGTCCTTGCTTTTTTATCACTTTGAGTATTTCTTGTCACTGGCCTGCAAGTTTTTGTTGAGAAATAAGCTGACAATCATACGGGTGCTCCCTTGTAGGTAGGTAACAGTTTTTCTCTTGCTGCTTTTAAGACTTTCTCTTTGTTTTTTGCTCTTGGCATTTTAATTATGATGTGTCTTGATGTGGACCTCTTTGGGTTCCTCTTGGTTGGCACTCTCATAACTTCCTGGACTTATACATCTAT